TCTAAAATTAACTACAAACAATTATTAAACAAAAAGAAAGATTGAGGTGGAATTTAGGTACAAAATAGTTTGGGGTTTCAAATTCATCTCTAATCTCATAACAAGTAATTAATATATTGAATTACAGTAAGTCAATTATTCGGATAATAGTGATATATTGTGCCTACAAGCCTTGATGCCATCGTCAAGAGGATGAGTATAATCAAATTGCAAGCACGAATCATCTTCTATCGGTACGAATCATCTACACTAAACTAGGGTTGTAACACGATTCATCTCTCCTAAGCATGACTCATCCCGTGATTTGTATATACAAACGAATAAAACAATTGCATAATAATATATTCTCAATCACAGAAATCGAATGCATTCATTAGATTAAAACTCTATTTGAATAAATAATATTTGAAAGTTATATAATGATTATCCAAACCAAATTGAAATAAAATCACAATATATTAATACAAGTTACTTGATTAGGGCTTCATCTCAATCCCAAAGAAAAATATTAGTTGCCCATGGAGAAGGTGAAGAACGCCATGTATGTGGAGAACTCCATCCTTGGAATCTTGGATTTCCACCCTCTTACCTTTTGTGGCCCCTTTTGATAGGTGAAGTGTCCCTTTTATGAAGGCTAGGTCATCCTTTTATACTCACATAAGTATTTGGGTTGGAATGGGCTTAAAAAGAACATAAAATATACTTTTCATCACAAAGGACCATATAACCTGCACAACATACAAATTCATTAAAATCATTAAATAACAATTGATATGGAATTAACTAGTGTAGTTTAGGGGATATGTACATATTTTGGCACTTATCACACCGCCCAACTTATACTTTGCTAGTCACTGAGCAAAGTAAAAGAAAAATACAATAAAATCTATCTAAGCCATTTTCGTAGGGATTACGATTGCATTTAGTCTATGCAACAAGCTTTTTAAACCCAAAGGTTATCCAAGTGGACGAGTGAAGTCTCGTGAAAGTTTGCAGTGAATCTACCCACAAAATTCAAGCATGATGGTTACTTCACAAAAGATAGACTACCCTACTTTAACTTTCGAATTCAAATAGATACCTTGTCATGCGTCAATATAGAATATCAAATAGTTAAGACCCATAGTTATCTTTCATGAATTTTAACCAGTCAAACACCTCACTTTGAAGCAATATTACTCAAGTTCAATATACTTGTATTTTGTAGAAAATCATTACATGGTCCCTTAATGTATAGTGAATATTCACACAAAAATATGCCCCCCCAACATAATCCTTAATAGACATAGCACCAATATGCCACAATTCATTAGGCATCCCTTAAAATAATGCAACAAATGGCTTGACTTTGATGCATAATTTTTTTCCTTTCCCTTTTTCTTTTTTTTTTCTTCCCTGATTATGCCATATCTAAGTCCCTTAAACTTTCTAATTAATCCATGTAGCAAGTGTTAGGCTAATGACTCTCAAACCAAATGGCTTTAGGGCACTAGGTGTAGAGACACCCTAACAGGTTTAATAACTTGAGTTAAAAAGGTTATGAACCTAAACTAGTCACTTGTTTTGTTTTTTTGTTTTTTTGACTGTGTAGTGTCTAGGTCTTTTAAGCTTTCTAATTAACCTATATAGCAAGTGTTGGGTCAATGACTCCCAAATCAAATGGTTTTAAAGCACTAGGTGTGAAAACACCTCAACAGGCTTAATAACTTCAGTTAAAAAGATTACAAACTCAAACTAGTCATATTTTTTATTTTTTATTTGTGCTATCAAGCCAAGGTCATTTATCCTGTGGATCATCCAATTCATTACATAATATCAATAACATGCATATCAGTCTCAAATCTTAAGGCTACACAACTGTGCTTATGTGCTCAAGTGATTTCAAGGTAAATAAGTGATATACTCTCTATTAAGCATGAGTAGAAAGAACTAATGTAGCATCACTTAACTCATGAAACTACTCCAAAATTTAACTCAGTCAATGAATGCAAATTGTTGGTCTCAATCATTCAATATTTCACATCAACTACTTAGATTAGGCAATCATTCAACTTTAAAAGTAGGAGTAAGGCATCTATCTCAACGTGGAATTTTTTCAAATGTTTCAATTCAAGGACAAAACCTTTCCCCCCAACTTAAATGTCACATTGTCCTTAATGAGACAACAAAATAATTGAATAGCACACAGGGGAGGAAAGATATCACCTTAGGGCTAGCACACATAGACATAAAGGGAAAGAGAGAGAGCCTCCTTCCAAACTGGAAGCGTAGTGCACCTACAAAAAATTAGTAACCAACATCTAAGAAAATAGAAGGGAAAAAAATAAAAAAAAAACTAAAAACTGAAACTGAAAATAAAATCTAAAACTAAGAAAAAAAAATCAGAAGTATATAAAAAATGAAATAAAATATATAAAATAAAATACAAGTGACACAACAACTTACATTCTCATTTTTTTCCTCTTCTTATGATAAATGAGATATGGATCATTCAAACATAGATTACTCGACCCAACTAATAGCTTCTGCTTTCTGGGTGGAATCCATTGAACCAGTTTTGTTGGAAAATAGGTACAATCAACATATGAGGAACCATGTGCATGAAAAATAAAGTGTGAAGACAAACTCCATGAGGGAACTCAAGAAGATTAATCCCAAAAATAAAATCCCACCCAAGGTCACTTGTCTTAACACTAAACTATTCAATATTTGTGACATTAAACTCATCTCTACAACTAAAGCCCAACGAATTACCCAAACTAACGTCATGAATATTTATGGGACTTGCTTGACTTGTGGACATCTCATTAAAATTTGGAACATTTAAGCAATCGTTTGTTGTGTACCTCATCATCTCACAAGTGTCACAAATTTCTTGCCTCCTTTCACTAGCCAATAGTGGCTCTAATTTTTCAACTTCCATGGCTTGTGAATTGAATTTATCAAACACATCATGATCCTAAGATTGTGAATTTTTAGATAAGTGATCAAAATAAGTCTAAGCCTCTTCACTAGTGGTTATCTAAAAATTTACTATTGCACATCATCTCTACAAAATGGCGCATTTCAAAATTTAAGCCCTCAAAAAATAAATGAATGAGACACAAAGTTTTGTAGGTTTGACATGGGCAACAAATTACCACATATTTAAATCTCTCCCAGCATTGTGAAAAAGGCTCACTTTCTATTTGATAAAAGTTCACAATTTGTCACTTAAGAAGAAGAGTCTCTTATGTGGGATAAAAAAATTTCAAAATTTGTTTTCTTTGGGTGAATAAAAAAAAATTGTTTTCATATTTCTTGCCATGTTTCAATTGATCTTGGGCTCAATGAATAAAACCGAGGGTTTTTTACTGGCCGGTCCTACTTTTTATAGTTATTCCCTTCTTAGTCCTGAATATTGATGTTGTGCACCAATAGGTCCTGGAGTCTTTTTTTGTACCTGTTTTACCCCTGTTTTGTTTTCCCCTGTTTTGGCACGTTTCTATTTGATTTTTGCCATGAAAATACTGTAATGTGAGTTTGGGTTTGGGTTTGTGATTTGGATTTCTGTGGAACTTCGTGATTTGTTAATGCATTATTGTGGAGCTTCGTGATTTGTGATTTCGCGCTTGGTGTATATTTGGATTTTGTGATTTGCAATCTCATGGAGGGAGCTCGATTTGTGATTTGCTTTTTATAAATCTGTGAATCTTCGAGTTTTGTGATTTCGCGTTTGGTGTATAGTTAGATTTTGTGATTTGCGATTTTGTGGATGGATCTCAACTGGTATGTTTGATTTTGATTTCAATTTCGATGTTTTGGTGTTTTTTAGGTTGAGTTTGAGTTTGTGATTTTGATTTTGTTTATGATATTGTTGTTATTCTGTTGTTTCTGCAATTGAATTTGTATTTTTATCATGATATTGAAAGCTTTGAGATATGTATATGTACTGAATATTAAATTTTTTTTTTTTTTGGTTATGAAATTGTTTTGGTTGAACACAGGTGTTGGTTTGTGATTTCTGCAGTGATAATTTTATCACTGAGTAGTTTGGGGGTATTGTTGGATTAACTTTTTCAACATTGATAAATTTATCAGCGAGTATAGGAATAGGAGATGAAAAAGTTGCATAATATAATGGTAAGATTCAAATCGAGTTACCATGCCCAATAAATGTAAGTCTTACTCACTGTTCATGCTCTTGGTCTTAGGTAGTGTTAATTGTTAAATTTATCACTGTTGATTTTTGGATGTGTTTGAGTTGGTTGATAATTCTATCACTGTATTAGATTTTGCTTTAGGTTGTTTGAGTTATTTGCTAAAATATAATTGTTGTTTGTTGCAAGATTTATAGTGATGAAAAATTCTTCATTTCTTATGTGCAAATTTAGAGGTGTGACATTGGTTATCAAGTATAATGATGAATTTAATTTCAAGGATTTAGTATATAAATTGTATGCAAAGTGGAGTGAGTTAGTTGTTAGTTCTTTGAATATATCGTATTCAATGCCCGTACATTCTTATTATGGTCTACAAAGTGAAGAGGATTTGGAGGTTATGGTTGGACTCGCACTTTCTTGTGATATTCATCGTATTGATGTTTTTTTTAAGTGTTGTTCTTTGGGTGAAGGTTATATGATTTGTGATGGTGAAGCTGGTAGTAGTAGTAGTGTTGTTTGTGAAACTGATTTTTTGCCTTCATTTTATTCAAATCAACGGAAATCTTTGCTCTCCGATAGGTGGGTTAATTGTATAAAAGGAGTGAGTCAAAGGTGTACTCAAAGAGTTGTTGAATTTCGAGATGCATTGTCAAAATATTCTATTCATTCCGATTTTGATTTTGATTTTGTTAAGAATGACAAGGATTGTGTCACTATTCATTGTAAGAGAAGGACTGATTTGGGATGTTTATGGAGCGTGCATGCCAGAGTGGAAAATTCTAGTAAAGCTTTTGTTATTAAACATTTGATGATATTCATACGTGTGGATCTTCTTTTCGTACAATTAAACATACTAGGATGACTTCGAGTATGATTGGTGGGCTAATTTCAAGTGAGGTTCGTAATAAGGCTTTGACATCGGTTAGTGAGGTGTTTTGTGATTTCAAGGACTATTATGGAACAGAAGTTTCTTGTCGGCGAGCTTGGATGGGTGTTGAAAAAACAAGGGATGTTGTTTTTGGTGACTATTCATCTTTATTTGACGATATTCGTTGGTATGTTGATACCGCTAATGATTATAATCCGGGGAGTGTTTTTTATATGGAATTTGATATTGATAGTAAAAGAAGACATTTCAAATGCTTGTTTTTCGCTTTTGAGGCATGTATTCATGGTTTCAAGTATTGTCGGCCTGTGTTGATGCTTGATGAAACTTTCTTGAACGGAAGACACAAAGGTTGTTTATTGGCTGCTACGGAAAAAGACAGTAACCAAGGTATATTTTGTGTCTATTTGTTATTATTATTAAAACAATGATAATTTTATCATTTTTGTTACTGGAGAGTGTTGATTATTGAGTATGGTCAATCAATTAGTGATAAATTTATGCTGTATACTTTTATATGCTGTATACTTTTGTTAAATTTTTATATTTATACAATGATAAATTTATTATGCATTGATTCTATATGTTGTATGTTTTTATTGAATTGTTGTAGTAATACAGTGATAAAGTTATCTATGGTTGGTGCTATATGTTATATACTTTGCGTTTTGCTTTTGTTTTGTAATCTTTTTCATTTGTTACAAATAATGTGTATATATTTTGTTTGTAGGTTTATATCCATTATATTTTGCCATTGTTGATAGTGAACGTTATGACAATTGTCATTGGTTCTTGTCAAAGTTATTTGTTATTTTGACTTCGGGAAGGGATAATACGTTTGTTACTGATCGACATGGAGGTTTGCTGAAAGCTTTAGCTAAGGTCTTTTTGTTTTCTTCTCATTCTTTTTGTCCAATGCATTTGAAAACAAACTTGAAGACTTATTTGTCAATGAAGAGTCGCGAATCTAAAGAGTATTTGCTCACTCCTTTTGGTAGATGTGCATATGCTATTACTATTGAGTTGTTTAATGAGCTATTTGAAGAATTTAAAGGTCGTTGTGGTCGTAATGTTCAGAAGTTTCTTGAGGATTTGCCTAATGAGTATTGGTGTAACGCTTATTTTCAAGGCAAGAGGTATGGTGAAATGTGCACAAATGCTGCAGAATCTTTTAATTCATGGATTAGGGATAAGCACCATTTGTTTTCAACTAATCTTGTTGATGCTATACGGGTGAAACTAATGGAGCACTTTTCAAAAAGGTGAGAAGTTGGAAATAAGTGGAATCGTATTGTTTGTCCTTTTGCAGAGAAAAAGTTGGAAGAAGCTTTTAATGATACAAATGCATGGATAGTTAAGAAATGTAGTGATGATATTCATGAAATCCAATTGGATCATTCAATTATGGTTGATATTGGGAAATAGTCTTGTTTTTGTCGATTGTTGGAAATTGATTCTTTTCCTTGCAAACATGGTTTTTATGCTATAAAGAGGAGTGAGAAGGATCTGAATTGTTTTCTTGATGATTACTACCATGTTCGTAGTTATTGTGATTCTTATTCGCATTCTATCTATTCAGTTCCTAGTATGTGGAAGCCAAATGTAGTTCTTGATGATGACGTTGTTTTACCTCCTCTTTGTAAGAAACCAGTTGGACATTCAAGAACAGAGAAAATACCTTTGAAGGGCGGATCAAGAGAATTAGGTGCAATAGGTATGGAAAGATGGGAACTCATAATCGAAAGACATGTAAAGAAGCTTGCTTTAGTTGTATTGATTTTAATTGAATTACTTTTGTTGAGAGTTGAGAGGTGTTACTTGTATTGAATGTTTGAATATTTTTTGAAAGATACATCATTTCGGTAGTTGCATTGGATGATTGAGGAATTTTTTGAACGAAAATTATATTTTTTGTTGATATTTTTACAAGATTAAGTATCACAGATTTATATTCTTTGATTTTGGTTAAATGTAGTTGATGTTTTTGGTGTTTTATACAGTGGTAAATTTATCGCTGGTTGGTTTGAATGAGTTGGTGGATTATGTTTTTTTAAGAGTGATAAATTTACCATTGTCTGAAGGAAACAATCAAGCATTAATGGGGTTGCTGAATTTTGTTATTTTTAAGAATGATAAATTTATAACTGACTGTATGGAAAGAGTTGATGGTTTATTACATTTATGTTAGTGGTTGATAAATTTATCACTGTCATATCCAACCAAATGTTCTTTTTTACAGTGATAAATTTATCGGTGGCTTAAACTCAAGAAAAATCAATTGTAGGTAGTTTGGGACTAAGTTTCCCAATCTGTGCTACATTATTGCCACTATGCAATTAAAACATTGATTACTTGCCTCCGCAATAATCAACAGATCTGGAAGAAAAGAAAATATTTTGCTTATTTGTTTGTTACACTAATCAACAGATCTGGAAGAAAAGAATACATTTTGCTTGTTTGTTTGTTACAATGTAATAACAAGGAAACATTGATTCATTTAGTTGTTAGAATGTGAATACTTCATACATTTGACTTGTTTGGTTGTTACAGTGTTATATATATTTTGATCATTTTGGTTCGTACTTTACTTCAATGAATATTATAATGCTTAGTTGTTACAATGTTAAAATTACAGACAATACACTAAATGAAAATTTAGTCTTTTTTAGCTATATTTTTTCTAGATCTGGCTTTGATATAAGTCTTACTTTATACTTAATAACAAGTTTGGATCCCTTCATTTACTAACATGACATTTTTTTTTACAATGATAAATTTATCACTGTTCAAACTAACAAAAATCAGCAACTCTCTCTCTCTCTCTCATTCTTTTTTCCTAATTCAAGTAAACAAAACAATATAAAAAATAATAAACAATTTATCTAAATTGAAAATTAAAACACAAACACTATGACATTGTCCAAATTGAGAATTAAAACACTGTTGCAATTTGTAGATATTTTCAAGTTTGGGAATGAATGTAAGAACATGCCATTCTGGGTATATGGAGTGGAGATAAAGTTCTAACAGCAAATCCAAAAAAACAAACCGTACATACATTTTAACATTTAACTCCAAGAACCAGTTATTTATGAAGAAATATGATCTTATTCAAGACCTGATGATAAACTGTTGTTGAGCAGTTTGTTGGTCAGTCAAGAAGATAGTTAATATATCGGCTATCAATTGATTGCATTCTTCTTTGGAAAAAGTAGACATTATGTTGTTGCTGGAAACATATTGCCTTATGATATAGCAAACAATGATTCCACAATCAAGCCTGCAAAAACATTTTGAAAACAAAATATTATAATTTAGTTTCGTTGCATTTTTTTTTTTATAGGAGTGTTTTGTTATTGATCAACTTACGAATTGTCTTCTTATTGTGGGCTGTTGATAACTCCTTCCGAATTAGGCAAATTAAGCAAATCTATCATTGTTATAACAATTTTTATCACTGAATTAGGCAAAGTAAGGAAATTCGTCATTGTATAGCAAATGTTATCACTCAATTAGGAAAATTAAGCAAATCTATCATTCTTATTGCAAATTTTATCACTGAATTAGGCAAAGTAAGCAAATCTATCATTGTATAGCAAATTTTATCACTGAATTAGCAAAAGTAAACAAATCCATCATTGTATGGCAAATGAACATGAAGATATGATTATTATGAAGTTGAATATCACTAATAAATTAATATTGTATGATACACATTGAAAATAGTTTCAAGTTGAATTTTATCACTTAATTATAGTTATGAAAGAAGAAGGGAATCAAATCCATAATTATAACAAATTTTATCACTCAATTAAGAAAATTAAGCAAATCTATCATTCTTATAGCAAATTTTCTCACTGAATTGGGCAAAATAAGCAAATCTGTTGTTGTATAGCAAATGAACGTGAAGATGTGATTATTATGAAGTTGAATATCACTTAATTATAGTTAGAAAAGAAGAACGGAAGATGAATACGACTCACGTTTGATTCGCATGTTTGTTGAAGAAGAAGGGAAGCAAATCCATCATTATAACAACTTTTATCACTCAATTAGGAAAATTAAGCAAATCTATCATTCTTATAGCAAATTTTCTCACTGATTTGGGTAAAGTAAGCAAATCTGGCATTGTATAACAAATTTTATCACTGGATTAGCAAAAGTAAGCAAATCTATCATTGTATAGGAAATGAACATGAAGATGTGATTATTATGAAGTTGAATATCGCTCATAAATTAATACTGTATGGTACAAATTGAAAATAGCTTCAAGTCGAATTGTATTACTCAATTATAGTTATAAGAGAAGAAGGGAGGCAAATCTATCATTATAACAAATTTTATCACTCAATTAGGAAAATTAAGCAAATCTATTATTTTTATAGCAAATTTTATCACTGAATTGGGCAAAGTAAGCAAATCTGTCATTGTATATCAAATTTTATCACTGAATTAGCAAAAGTAAGCAAATCCATCATTGTATAGCAAATGAACATGATGATGTGATTATTATGAAGTTGAATATCACTCATAAATTAATACTGTATAATACACATTGAAAATAGCTTCAAGTCAAATTTTATTACTCAATTATAGTTATGAAAAAAGAAGAGAAGCAAATCCATCATTATAACAAATTTTATCACTCAATTAGGAAAATTAAGCAAACCTATCATTCTTATAGCAAATTTTCTCACTGAATTGGGCAAAGTAAGCAAATCTGTTATTGTATAACAAATTTTATCACTGAATTAGCAAAAGTAAGCAAATCCATCATTGTATAGCAAATGAACATGAAGATGTGATTATTATGAAGTTGAATATCAATCATAAATTAATATTGTATGATACACATTGAAAATAGTTTCAAGTCAAATTTTATAACTCAATTATAGTTATGAAAGAAGAAGGGAATCAAATTCATCATTATAACAAATTTTATCACTCAATTAAGAAAATTAAGCAAATCTATCATTCTTATAGCAAATTTTCTCACTCAATTGGGCAAAATAAGCAAATCTGTTATTGTATAGCAAATGAACATGAAGATGTGATTATTATGAAGTTGAATATCACTTAATTATAATTATAAAAAAAGAACGGAAGATGAATACGACTCACATTTGATTCGCATGTTTGTTGAAGACGAACTAAACAGGGAATATAGATCGAAACGGTGGAAGATTTGCTGGGCATCTGTTTAGAATCAGAATATAGATCGAAATAGAGGTGATTTCTTTGGAAACGATGGGAGATTTAGGGAAAATCTCTTCATTTGTTTCGATTTTCAAATCGCAAATCGCCTCAGAATAGTTTCCAAATCAGAACAATTGAGAAAGAGCGTGTGTGCCACGCGCATAGGGGAGAGCTTGTGATATCTTATTTGCTTCACATATGTGGTGTGACATTGAGGGGTAAAATTGGAAACTAAAATAGGGTAGGACTTGGTGGGTATTAATTTGTTTCAATGGGACCGGCTAGTAAGTCCCCCTAAAACCAATACTTAGCCTTGTCCTTTAAAGAGGCTGGGAACAATCTAACCATAGGTACTTCATCGCTAACATGTAAATTGTGCAAAGTAGCAAAAACCTCTTCAAAATTTTCAACATGGTCACATAGATTTTCTGAGTCTAAGCCATAAAATTTGGGAAGCAATCCAAACAATTCAAGAATCAACTCAAGCGTGCCTTCAAAAATTTTGGATGGAAAATCATACATGCTGAAGGACTCATCGTTGGTTGCCAATAATTGGGTAAAGTTTCCAATGATTGCTTATATTGGATTCTAAACCCTCCAACAGGATTTCCAAAATAATCTACTTTTTTTTAGTGTGAAAAATTCAAACTACTTGCAAATAAGTTTACACTTACAGTACTTTCCCGAATGTTTTTTTTAATCTCGAATCCCCGATCACAACCAACTACAAGTCCTTCGCCTGCAATCACTTGAATAATCTGCACTTGCCACTTTAAAATACTAAAACAGAAATTATATACACAAAATCCTAAACTAAGAATTAATTTAAAAATTAATTTTCAAAATCTAAACAACCGTGCTAATAGTCCCTGGCAACGGTGCCAAAATTTGGAGGTCGTTTTGCACACTAAAAATAAATCCTTACTAAGACCTTCTGACTTTATATTTTACATTATCTTGGGCCCAACAACCCATTTTGTCCCTCCACTATAAATATAAACTCTTTCTCTCTCTCCTCACTTTTTCTCACTCCTCTCTCTGTCACTATCACTCTCTCTTTCTTACTTTCCTCCTTTTTTTGGAGCTTCAAGCTTGGGTTTCATCCCCTTAGAGGTGAAATCTTTGGGAAAATAATGGTTTTTCGACAGCTATAATGCTAAATTAAAGTGGGACCCAATTACTGGTTGAGGTGGGTCCAGGTGGGTTTATATTATCTTATGTGACAAGATTACAATACAAAAAGAATGAGTCGAAACCATTGAGTTTTGAATGAGAAATTGTCTCGTAAAGTGGACATCAATTAAAGTTGGGCTTGGACTTGGACTTAGTCTTAGTCTGGACAAGCCTAGGCTTGTGCATGAACATGTGCTGGGTATGGATTTAGACTTGGATTTAGTCTTGAGCTTGAACGTGGGTTGGGTAGGTTGTGTTGTGCTTAGCTTGTGCATGTTGTAGCTTATTTTTCTTGCTCTTTTTGGATACGATAGCCCTATAATTCGAACTCCCGTGGTTCTGAATCTGATCTCACAAGTGCAATGTGCAATAGATAAACACAAAAGAGTCTAAATTCGGCAAATCTTTTGAAAAATCGATTTTGAATAAAAAATGCCAAAAATGAACTACTTTGCCAGATACAGAGTCGCCACCTAAATATTTTTGGAAAATTTAGGAAACCCGTGACTTGTGCCAAAGGCCATATGTCCGTCATCACCAAGATTGTCTCGGCTTGGGAACTTAGGAACGAGAGGGGAAGGTCATGAAGTGAACACCCCACTCGCTTGATCAAAGATCGGACTCTACTAATCATGATGTGAGTTTTACTTACATTATATGCT